CAGTACACTACCAAAGCTCATTATCAGTGCACACACACACACACACACACACACACACACACACACACACACACACACCTAAGTATAACACACCAGAGAGTTGTGTTTATCTTAGTGAATGTCTCAAATATTGACACTTACCAAAGGGAATACTGAAGAATGGGCTCAGCAGGGCAGTTTCAGCTGAGCATCTTTGTTTTGGATCAGTGACAAGCATGCTGCAGACACAAAGTAACATGAGTCAACAACCAGAGCCATCATGATAAGACTTCACTGTTTAGTGGATGATTCTTTACCTTTTAATAAGGTCTCTGAGGTGATAGACGGGGATGGCAGGGCATGCCAGGCTGTTGTTGGCAAAGACATGGTCTACAATGGCAGCGCTGTTATCCTGCAGGGCAGAAAACCATACTGTGTAAGCTCATGTCTTTCTATTGCACCAAAGGTCTGTGTTATTAGATTTTTCTTTGCTTAAAACTTGGAGAGCTTTGCCAAACCTTCCACTCTTGCGAGCGGACGGTGTCTTTGAGTTTGATTCCTGAGAACATCTCCAGCAGGATGATGCCCAGGCTCCACAGGTCGACGGCGGCCGTGCAGCCCGAGTCTCCCTCCATTTCCACCCCCGCCTGAGCCAGGCTGTTCTGAAGCTCAGCCTCCGGTGCGCGGTACCCATCTGTCTGGATGTACTTGACATCCTGCAAGATAAGGATGTCGTAATTTCACAAACAGAGCTATCCCTGATCCTCTTTTATTAACATTCACATCTAAATACACACTATTTTATCTTTAGCTAACATAAAAACAAAATGAGCACAAAACATTTGTTCTAGTCATCTCTATTAAGTGCATTTATTTCTTTTCAAATAATGTGCTCTAAATGCATTCGATACAGACTGATTCATAAAAGCTTAAACTCAATCAAATTGGTTCAGCTCCAACCAAGAAGACAAACAGAGAGCCTGTGTTAAGAAGTTCTGTCAATAAGAGGAAAAACTCTCAATGCCTTCATAAGGTGAAGCTTGGAATAACAACAGCTGCTTTATCTCCAAATTGCTCAGGCTCTCTCATGGTCTGCTTTCAGCAGCCCGCTACTGGCTGTCAGCTTTCTTTCATCTGCCCTAAGTCTGCCACGCAAAGTCTCCCGAGGTATCCATGTCTTCTAATACCTAGACCTCTCTTTAGTCTCATCTGCACCTGCAGACATCCTGCAACAACGGCAGGAAACCACAGACTAGTGGCCATCGCAAACTGGTCAAAACCCACCTAATCAGTGCCAAACTCACTATTGAATGAACCTGTATCTTCCACCACATCCACCTTTTTCTGGATTTTTAAAAAAAATCTGTTGAACAATATTTAAAGTTAAAGAAAATCTCCTGTAAAAAAAAACACATCTTTAACTTCAGTCATTGCATCATGTTTTTTTAATGTTAGGGAATAAATTGTTGAGCTTAAAATATTGAGAATAATAACAAAAACCCACCTGGTTTCCCTGTTTGAAGCTGAGGCCAAAGTCAATGAGCTTGAAGGACTCGTCATCAGCGCTCCAGAGGATGTTGCGTGGTTTGAGGTCTGCGTGGACGTAGCCTTCTTTGTGAAGGAAGGCGAGAGCCTCGAGGATGTCTCTGGCACAGTGCTGGACAAGCCACATGGAGTGGCCCTGCTGGGCTCTAAACACAAATGTTGAACTACGATGTTACACAGCTCACATCCTCTTAGCAATAACAAAATCTAACATTATTCATTATATAACATGATCACTGGTCCAGATGCTGTTTATATTGTTAAAAATCTTGTATTACATCTGGAAAAAAAAAAGAAAAGGAAAACTGAACAATCTTCACTCCCAACAACTGATAAATAGTGCTGTCAAACTATCCCACAATACGTCACTTTATGTTGTAGTACAGCCACAATACATGCAGCATACTTGTTTGACCAGCAGATGGCATTATGTGCTGCTTGAATGAGGTTTTGACACAGTACACGAGTATGGCAAAACATGAAGCCTTCTCTCCATGCTTTAGGAAAAGAAAACTATGTTACTATCCAATGTATTTAGAAGGTAATAAAAGATTTAACGCATAACGTTGCAAAAGTCTGTAATGTAAATATAGAAACTACTGCCATGAGAAATGCCACTAACTTTTGACAGTTTAAGTTGAAAAGTAGACATGTACAAAATCATAAAATTTTGTCATTTGCAGAGACTATTGACAGTGTCAGGATGGGGGGAAAATGCAAATGAAACATGGTATGGATTTGAATCTGCCATAGACAGAGTAATGGGATTGGCTTGGTTGTGCCTCGGTCCTATGTAGAGCTTTGCAGACAACTGTCTACATGTGATAGCTGTCACCAGGGGTTACTGTCATATGTGGAACAACTATTCCTGTTTGTGCCCCCCCCAGAAGACTGAGAAGAAGTCATACCATACAAAGAACTTCTTTGTAATGAAATAAAATTCGAACATGCAGCTACTGCCTGAGGTTCTCAGGCTGCTATTTTAACCTTTGATTATTTTTCCCCACTTCTTTCACTTTGTTAACTTCACTGGTGCTCTCATCTGTTCCAGTTCAGCTTTCAACCAATCAGCATTCTATCTATTCACAGTTTCATCCATACTGCCTATGAGCTATGGCTTCTTTTAATCACTACTCCACACAATAGTGATATCACCTCACTTACCTTACACCTTGGGTACTACTGTTGCGCCTCACCAGCAGCTCAGACACACTGACATCCAGGAGCTCCAGCAAAAGACAGCGTGTGGTCACACCCATAGAGCTGTGGTTGGTAAACACTCCATACAGTGTGACTGAGAAACAAAAGGGGGAAAAGAATGCATTTCAACAAAAACAGTCAATAACAGTGCAATGCCAGCAGAAAGACATACCAGTATAAGACCATCTTGCTGATCTGTACAGACATGATCCCCATGACATAAATGGATTATTACAATCCACTGAAGTTAAGCTCTCACAACAACTTTTAAGAACTACTTAAGGCCAGATGAAGGTGTTGAAGACTAGCATGTTACTAGATATGAGTTCACAAGTTATTATAAAGGAAATAAACAAACTAGGGTGGGGACAAATCAGATGACTGGGTTTTCTAAGCAAATACTGCAAAAATAGGCAGTGATTTTCTAATACATTTGACATTTATTGGTTAAAAAATGCTTCCTATTAAGCTTTTCCGCTGTTGTAGATCCACTCTGATCTCTTATACACATGTACTGTTGAAATGGCAGTTTTTCAGATATGTGAGGTTGTTCTACGTCTGCTTTGTAAACGAATGATTAGGTAGGTTGTGCTTCTATACAGGAAAATAAAAGTAGTTTGTTATGCAACTGTTTTAATGGTCCACATGAGAGCAAACGTTTTACACAAGTGAAATAAGGCTTTTACCGATGTTTTTGTGTCCCTGGATGTCTTCCAGCACGGACCTCTCCTTGTGATACCCGTAATCTCCTCCCTGAGTGTCGGCTTGAAACTCCTTCACAGCTGCAGTGGCTCTGCCCGAACTGACCCGGTACACCGAGGCCGAGACTCCCTGGCCGAGACGCGACTGGACGGTCCAAAGCTCGCCGAAGATCTCAAACAGCACCGGCTTCATGCTCTGGTCTACGCCGCCCTGTGGGGGCAGGATGCTGTCCGGGTGCGGGGCCTGTACCTTTGCGCTGGGCTCAGAGGAGCCGCAGTGAGCCATTAAGGGAGGGGGAAAGTAGGAGAGGAGCCAGCTAGATGACTGGTGGCAGCAGCTGCAGGATCATTGCAAAGACGACTGTACCGGGACGCGTCAACAGCAGCGAGAACACTCTCTGACTAAGCCTACGTCAGTGTTCAAACTAACCCGAAAGCAATATCCGAGCATATCAGACGACAGTTTTCTACCCGAGACGGCCAAAGTAAGTTCAAGCCAGTCAGCTGACAGAAAGTGAGCTAACTTATCTCCAAACTAGCCATTGAGTTTGAGCACAGAGATAAACCGCCGCCACAGCGCACGGGCTGAAGCTTCCCCCATAATGCACCGGACAATACTAAAGCGTAAGAAGTTATAACAATAACTTCAGAAATGTTATCCGCTACTGCAGCGAAGTTCGACTTGAGTTGTAAACTCAGGTTGTTGATATTGATCTTACTTCCGTTTCTACCGCCCTCCTTCCTTGTTGGTGGTGCATGTTTTCCAGCACTCTGCCCCCTACCGGTAGGGAGTGTACGTACACTATTTCAGATTAAACAAATATATGATGGTTAACTAAAATTAAACTATAAGCTAAAACGTAGTTTGAAAAAAAAAAACAACAACTAATATTTAACCGTTTTTTGAGTCATCACAGGGTACATCTGCATCTATTTCACTCTATCCCTAACATCCCCCTCTGTCACACCAACACTCTGTATGTCCTGTGTAAATACCTCCACGGGTCTCCTCTGAGGTCTTCTTTTCCTCCTGTCTGGCAGCTCAGTATTTAACATCCTCTGTCCATTGTATCCGCTACCCCTCCTCTGCACATGACTCTCTAACTTTGTCTCCAAATTGCTCAGCCTTAACTGTCTCTCGAATGTACTCACAGGACTGTGTAATCCTGTCCCTCCTGATCACGCCTAAGAAAAGCAGGTGAACTGTGGGGCTGTATGAGCAGGGAAAACCCACATTTGACACACCTGCGTCCCAGGTGGATGTGTCCACACAGCAGTTTTGTCTTTTGGGGCACCCATATGCCCCAAAAGAAAGAAAAACCCATATGGGGGAAACCCACATTTTTCTTTTAAATCATTGATAAAATATCATGCATATTCGTTAATATCCTACTACATAATAACATACTTGGGGACATCCGAAGGACTTTATTAATTTGTTTATTTATTATTTATAAAAACGACGTAAATTTGAAATGGAACATCGCTTCTTTTGTTCTCTAGATAAATTACATTTGGATTGATATCCGATATATGCAAAGTAAGCCACTAAAGCTAGTAACTATTTGAAAGTCCTTAAATTAAGATAATTTCGTTATCCAATAGTTTTTACTTTATTTCAGAGTAGACCTTTTCCCGTTCTATTACACGGTTTCTGCATTTTTACGTTATTATTATTATTTTTCTGTGAACTACCTTTAGATTCCCCGGAAATGGAAGAACTATCATACCGGAAAAGGAAAACGTCAACAAGATGAGGTGGTGTTTTTGAACATTTAGCAGAAAACAGCACTCTATGCACAGTGGTCCTACGCTGCAGGAGGACAACCGGAACAGGTCGTTGACTGAAGTCGGCAGCTTTTAAAACCTTGAAACAGTAAGTTGACGAATCAAAGTGAGCACAGAGCCGTGAAGGAGAATTCACGTCACATAATTTTACAGCATGCAGTCACTGAAGTGTCAGCTCCTAAAGCAGACGCTGTGTCGTTTGTGTGTCGGTTTCGGCAGCAGGGTGAGTGTGTGCAGACTTCTACTAAAAACCGACTTTAAAGGGAGTAACGCGAGAGAATGTGAGAGTTGACTTCAATAGAAGCTACAACAGCAGCCGCTGTTATTTCAACAGAAAGTGTGGCGGCTGATGTTTTTAACGAGCAGCTGTTACATTCATTTTTTTTCTCCTGAAGACAATCTCAGCAACAAGCGAAGCCACCGAGTGACCACACAGCCACAATACTTTATCTAACCGTAGCGCCCTCTTTACTAAGTGTAGCATTGTTTGCTACCATTTGCTACATACTACAAACGTCACTCCTTATTTGCAGATTTGTTAAGGGGGGTTCAGCAGTTTTTTTTTTGATGTCGAAGGACAGTGAGCGCGAGGACAGTGGTATTGAGGTGTGGCAGGGCGCGTGACTTTCCAGAAAACCAGCTGACTTTCAGGGATTTTTTGAAAGATCTGGAAAATACTGGTGTTTTTGCAGATTGGTCAGTCGAGTTGTAAACCAAATTAACACCGCTTTCCTTTCCTGCAATAAAAAAAGAATGCAAAAGGAAAACAAGTTTAACATACGACATCAAAAAGAGCCGTCAGACCTGCTGAAACAGGGCAAAATATAGCTCTATAACCATAAAAGTCATTTTCTAGTTAGCCTCTGAACACGGCCTCCGCTTCTCCCTCTTCTGTATCTTCAACCAACAATAGAACTATTTTAAAGGGCAAAAAGCAGAATGCACCTTGTAGGCGACCACTTTTTTTGGAGCCATTTCAGTGGTCATTTGGATATAAAACTGCATGCATTCAACAGCCAAAACAAAGAAACTGCCCTTCTTCCCTCTGCAATCATACTTCTATCAATAATGCTCAGTTTTTAGAGTGTCATGTGTCTCTCTATAATGCTTTCAAAGAAAGACATCAGGTGCTTAAAAGCTGACATTGACGTGGGAACCACAAAGTGTGTGGGCCTGTTAGTGAAAGCTACTGATGTCAGTAGCTGATAACCAAGAAGTTCACAGATCATTTGTAGATTCTGACTAAATTGTTTCCGAGGAAAGTTACACCACCCTCTGTTATCTAGTGATCAAGCCTTCAAAATCTCAAAAGGCACCAAGTAGCCACCAGAACTGATGTGGTGTTGTGTGGAGTTTTTTTTTTTTTTTTTTACTTTGTGGCTTCATAGTGTAGTAGTTTACACATTTGCCTAACAAGTGAAACATCCCTTGCAGGCACCCAAGAGGAGACACAAATCCCTTTGAAATTGCATAAGACATAAAGAAAATCTGGTGAATACGGAAGCAGCTGAAAGCAGTTACTATTTATGGCATCAGTGGAAGATGTCTGAGAGGAATGGGAATGTGGAACAAGCAGATAGTGTTTGTGTTAGGCGGTGCGAGTCAGAGAGGGCGGGTACAGGTGTCTTGGATCAACAGGAATGTAGTTCCTTCTACACGCTGCCACACTGAGCTCTTTTACATCTGGGCTTGCACTACTTATTGACTGATACACATCTATGGTAGGTATTATCAAAGCAGATGTGTTTCTATGGTGTTCAAAATTAGATGAGAAACAATTTTGCATATATGGGTTTTGTATAATTAATGTTTGTGTGAGTGCACTTTGAGAAATTTCTTTGTCTGCTGAATCTCAAATCCAACTCTGAGAAAAATCCTCAAGTTTCTTACTTTCAGGTCTTTTTATTTGAAGTATTGTAATTATTATATAGTGAGGGGAATGATCACATCCCTCTAGCTGTTGAAAATGCAAGTCAGCAGCCTTCATTTCCTTTCATGCTTCCTTTTCAGCTTTTCCTTTTTCCCTTTGGTGCAAAAACAACTTTGGAAATTCTCATACTTTAAGATGTGCAAGCTTTCAATTCAGAAATGTTTTTCATAAGCTAATATTTTTACTCCTGTATACAAACTTAATTCTAGTGTTCTGGCTGCATTCTCATCATGAGATCTTGTGTTTAATCTAAGCTAAATTTTGATATGGATATATTAAATGTTAAAGATATTCTATTATCAAGTACTCAGATGCAATGAAATATCACTCAGACACTTAGAGCAGTTTTAAACGTGCACGGGTGAGAGACTCAGGGAGAGACTC